TTTTTTTTTTTTTTGGCTGGGGCTGGGTTTGAACCAGCCACCTCCAGCATATGGGGCTAGTGCCCCACCCCTTTGAGCCACAGGCACCGCCTGACACTGAATTCTTAAAGGCCTTGCAGTGCCCTGAGCAATAGGCACATGAGGAAAATATTTTTTTCTGATGCTTGGTCTTTCACTCAAGTTCCTGACACATACCTTCTAGGACTTTTGATATGCCCTGAGTATGAGGAGCATGTGACTTAAATCCTAAATGCCTTGGAATTTCCCGGGTTATAGTATCAACATCTATTCTATTGAGATGACTCTTCACTAGCTTCTAATGGCTAAGAATGAGTGTTGGTTACCAGGGAAAACAGCCCTGAGATTAGGGATTAGAACTTTAATTTCCACCCCACACCACCTGTAGGGAGGGAGGAGAGGCAGAATGTTAGGTTGATACCAATGGCCAATACTGTAATCAAGTATGCTAAGTAATGAAGCCTTCATCAAAATCCAGAAGAACGTGGCTCCCAGAACTTCTAGGTAGCTGAAAATTTGAAGATACCTGTGATGTGACAGACCTAAACAGGGTTTGCAAGCCCCACATTACCCTCTTCATGCCTGGTTCTGTGAGTGGCTTCCATCTGGCTGGTCATCTGGATCTTTTGTAATATCTTTTATAATAAATGGATAATTACAAGTGAAGAGCTTTCCTGAGTTCAGTGAGAAACTTCATCAAACCCATGAGGGGGAGGTTTGATTTAAAGCTGGTTGCTCAGATATACAGGCTACAACTTGGCAGGGACTGGCAATTGGCATGTGAAATGAAGGCACTATTGTGGGATCCAGCCCTCAATATGAGATCTGACACTATCTCCAGGTAGATAATGTCAGAATTGAACTACTGGACACCCAGCTGATATCTGCTAGAGAACTTCTTGTTTAAGGTGGAAGGAAAAAAATCCACACATATTTTGATGACCAAAGATGGTGAATTCTGTGTGGTTTTGACTATGCGGGAGTAGAGTAGGAAAATAACCCAAAATGTTTTCCTTTTCACCAGTAATGGTAAGATATGTTCTTAAGGGTATGTTCTTAAGTGATTTTTACCATGCTAAGAGAAGCCGTGATGGGGAAAAGAGCTGGTTTATTTTCTTGTTACTTGAATTTCTATTTTTGAAAGCAGAGGTCTACTTGTGTAACATTAGAATGGAAGACTAATTCTGGGAACTGATTGATTTTCTCATTCATAGGCCCTTCCAATTCAGTAACCCAGATCTGTCTGTAGAGGTGACTAGAGTCCATGCCACATCTCTTACCTATATCAAACTCAGCATTTTGTGGTTTTCCTGGAGAAGCGGACATCACATTCAAGACACTCAATTCTACTCTCTGGAGTAGACGTGTAGCCTTTCCAGCAAAGGCCCTTTTGCTTCTGGTCTTCCTCAGATGTTCCTATCAAAGAATTAAAGCTAATTAGATAGAGTTTCTCTGAAATTTCAGAAAGATAGAATATGCATAAATGTGGTAGGGGTAAGCCCAGAAGTCAGTATTTATTAAGGTGGTATTAGGTGGGAGGGCATGAGATTCTAGACACCGACTCAGGTCTTTCAATGACATCTGAGGCATTGTCACTCTTTCCCAGAGTGTCTTAATTTCCACTGACATCTGAGACCAGTCAATTCTTGGTTGTGGGAGCCTGTCCTGGGCATTGTGGGATATTGAGCTTTGTCTCAGGTCTTTATTCACTAGGTATCAGTTTCAAACCTTCCCTCCACAAGTAAAGTTATAACAACAAAAAGTGTCCCCAGTTATTCACAGATGACCCTTGGCATAGAGCACAATGTCACCCCAGATGAGAACTACTTTACCCTAAAACTACAGAGAACCCTGTGAATGTTACAGCAGGAGAATGATGTGGTAAGATAAACCTGCTGTTTCCCAAACCAAGGCCTCACCCCACTTACCTGAATCATCACTTGTGTCTGTGTCTCTTCAATGCTCTTTACTGTGGGAGGGAAGTAGTCATTAAATGAGGTCTAGGAGAAAATCCACCCTGGTCACACCACTTCTTCCAATCACCTTCAACTTGGGTCTTTCCTAGATGCTTCTGCAGACCACCCTAATTCCCCTCTAAGAAATCCAAAATGTATTCATAGTAGGATTGCAGAAGGAAATTAGAATGTGGCCTCCAGATTGAAACTTCAGTCAACAGTATTTATTGATAATCTAGTAAAAACCAGACATGATGCTAAACCACATGGATATAGGTTAGTGAAAGAGACCAAGGTGTCCTCCTGTGGAGTTTGCAGTCTGCAAGGAAAGGCAGCAAGCAAATAATTACAAATAAATCACCGAGTGATTAGAAATTATGATCTTAATAAATAGGACTCAATGACATGGGGAGAGACAGCAGAGGGCCCCAACACATCAGGGTTGCATGGAAGGTTAATTAACTTACTACTATAGAAGCAGTTGTACACACAGGACATCTACACTACCTCATTTAAGGGAATGCAGAAGGTTCTATAATAAGCTTATCTAGCATAATAGCTGAGATTTACTGAGCCTTCCTAGGTACTAAGGACTACATATTTTACATGATTAATATAATCAAAGTATAGGTGAGAGGGGGAGTGGTCAAGATGGCTGACAGGCACCAGTCTCCGACAGAAGCTCCTGCTCAGAAGAAAGGATAAAGTCCGGAGAAACACCCAACAAAATCGAAAACTGGGAGCCCAGTTGAGAGAGAAGAGTGATACCGGCAGGACACCTCTTCTGAGACAGACAGAGACTTCTAGAGGACGCTCCACAGGTACATAAATCTCTCCAAAGGAATAGCGCCCAGCCCCTCCCTCAAGAAAGGTGTGCTTTTCCTTTGTTTCCTCTTCAACCGCTCCTCCGAGTCTCCTACAGGCCACCGATAAACTGAGGACCTATTCTCTCACTCCATGAGTGAGAGCCGCCAACAGGGAAGTTTACTACCCTGGAGGAACCCAGTTGAGACTGGGAACACCCTCCCCCAGGCAGAAAAGTGAAACTGGTGTTCGTGCTGCCATTTTGAGTTTCCAGTCCACTCTCCCTCCCCTTGCCCACTGGGATGGGGAGAGGAGAGCCAGGAACGACATCCACCCACCCTTCCAAGAGCAATCCCCTGTCCCAGTCCTTCACCAGGAGAACTCCTTGATCCACAGTTTCAGTGTGCAGACGGACCCCCCTCAGTCAGCGCATTCTGTGCTCAGCTGTCTCCCCGGCTGCTATCTGCACTTCCTGAGACCTTGGTGCCGGTGACCGGGACTGATGCTGAACAGGGAGGGCTGCACACCCCACCAGGCCTCGCCTCTGGGGCTTTGGTGGCCCTTGACAGTGATAGACTTCTGCTAGATCGGGTCACTGAGCTGCGCCAACCTCCCGGAGCCCTGCTGGCCCGCGGCTTCCATTGACTCCTGGTAGAGCAACCACGCGCTTGCCTCCTGGGGCTCCCTGGCCCTGGATCACCACCAGCCCCTGCCTAAGAGGGTCGTGCTGTCCCGCCAATCGCGCTTCAGCCTCCAGGGCTTTGGTGACCAGGGAAGGCAGTCTCGTGCCCACCTCCCAGGGTCTTGTCAGCTGGCAGTCGCCAGCAACTCCGGCGGGGAAAGGTTGAGCCATCCAGCCAGTGGCACGTGTGCCGCCTCTGGGGTTTGGCGAATTGCGACAGCAGCTGACTTCTGCTGGGGCAGGTCACGCAGACCTGTGCCTGCCTCCTGGGACCTCCTAGCGCACGATCACTGTGACCTCTCACCGGAGTGAGCTGTGCCATCCCGCCAGGGCAGGTCGTGCACCCTTCTCACCGGGCCTTGCCAGCTTGCTGTCGCCAGCAGCTCCTGCCTGGGAGGGTCGCGCCATCCCGTCAGTGGTGCACCTGTCTCTGGGGCTTTGGTAGCCAGCAAGGACAACTGACTTCTGCTGGGGCAGGTTGCGCCTGCCTCCCAGGGCCTTGACGGCTACACTGACTCCTGTAGGGGTGGGCTGCATCACCCCACCTGCTGACCCTGCCTCCTGGGGTCTTGCCGGGTTGTACCCAGGAGAAAACTAGAAGAATTCACTGGCAGAACGGTTTTAGGGACGGTTTCCGAAAGGTGCAAATTCAACATGAGACGGAATCAGCGGAAAAACTCTGGCAACCAGAATAACCAGAGTAGATTAACGTCCCCAAAGAAGGATGGAGTAGACACAATGGAAGACCCACTACATAAACAGATATCTGAAATGTCAGAAATTGAGTTCAGAATCTGGATAGGGAGTAA